AAATAATATTTAACATTATAATATATTAATGTTTTAGTTATACATGCATGGGCGTTTTATGTGTGTTTTACAAAATTGATTAGGGGTTTAGTGTTCATGTGTATTTGTATCCTAACTTTCCCATTTAAAATCATGGGAAATAAACTCCTGTTCGACATTTCTTGCTGAGAATATCAGAGTTTTCAGAAATGAATTGCTGATGTTAAATGAGACATAGCTATTTTTAGGATTTCTGCTTTCTGTAGTGGAAGAAGCAAAAGAGAGAAGGGGCTTCTCTGTTGGGTAACCACAGAAGAGTGTCTGCAAGTGGGCAGAAGATACTGCGTTTGTTTTGGTTATGTTCATCATCTGATGTTTTCACACATAGGTAGGGAAGCCAAGAAGGCAATTGCTTAGTTAAAAAAAACAAAAGCAAAAACAAAACAAAACACCAGGAAATAATCAGAAACCACTGGAAGTCCTTAACAATGACTCAGTTGTATTTGGGTCAGATAAAATTATGAAAGGCCATATACAGTGGCCCAGGAGGTCCAACTCCAAAAGCACAGATGAACCCAATTATTTTACACAGATACTACCCAATATTCACCCCTTTGAAGCCAGAAATTGAGGACAGATTGCTGCTGGTTATAGCAGCACTTTACAGAATCTTCCATTTTAACTTATGTAATAAAAAGTTCTCATGGGTAAGAGTTATATTTCATGTGGCCAAAGCAATTGACTCAGGCCCCCAAAGAACTCAAACATCACTATGTATAGGAGAGAAATACAGCCACACGTTTCTGTGAAAATTCCATATATGTACAAATGAGATGCAAGGAACATATGTTCAGCCATAAATATGTTCATGTAGAGCAGTTTTGTCCTTCTGGAATAATCACATGCAGGGACATTTGAGAAAATGCAAATAAACTACTTAGAAGTGTTCTTGGCACTTTGTAAGTGCTCAATAAATGTTAACTGCAGTAATAATATTATTGTTGTTCTTTTCCGTTTGTTTTTATGCCTCTTTCTCCTCCTCTGCCTTTTCTTTCCCCTCATATTCATTGCTTCTCTGGAAATGCCCTCATAGTACTGTTACTGATTCCTGGTCACCCACTTTCAGAACAGAATCATGATTAATTCTCTTCCTTGGCCATCTGCTTTTCCAATTAATTCCCTTCTAAGATCAATTTTACTTCTACACCCTTTAGTTCTCTCCTCCATCTCATGCTCTTTGCCACTGTCATGTTGAAAATTCCTGTAACTTTTCATCTAGAAAGCACCAGCTTCAGACTGAGGGTAGATTGCCCATGGGCAGTGCTCTAACCTTAGAGCACTGCAAAACAGGCATGTCATAAAGATGAAGATAATTCAGTCTTGATGAACCTTTTCAGGGTTTTTCTGCCAGAAAACCTAGAAACATGTTGAAGATTTTTTTGCTACCCATTTCATTCTTCATAGTTAAGCATTGATTTTATTATGACCCATAGTCAAGTGCAGTAATACCAAAATATTTCCCAAGTTTAGGGCTTCTAAGATCTTATAATCTGACCTAGCTCCTGACTCATCTCCTTCATTCTAGCTGCTGTTTTCTCATATACACTGCTTTGAGGATAGTGAGTACTTCTATAATGAAATTGCACTGCTCAGAAATTAACAGTGATTTATGGTGATTAAAAATATCCAAAATCCATAGAGATGTGGGTTAGGGAGAATTTCATAATATTCTGGGGGTATGAGTATAAAGTATGGGCTTTCATAGGGAAACCTATATCAAGGATAAGTAAGAGAAGATCATAGTCCACTGATGTCTCATCATCCTCCAGAGAGATTCTTTGAGGTCAGGGTATTTTGGATACTACATAGGTTTGTGTTATAGGTGTGGGTAACTTTCCATCTCTGAGCTACCTCTTGGTAGTGCATGTGGGAGAACACCTTTGATACATGTAAGATACCAGGCCCAAGGAAAGCTGAGCTCAGGTGCATGGGGATGGGGGGAGTGCTTGGTCTCTGTCTGCCCATTCAAAGGCAATCGGAGCCTCAGTATTTATCCACTGGATAATCCTGCTTGTCTCTCTCCATAACTTATTAACTACTACCAAGTTTTGACTTAAAGCTACCTTTCTGATCCTGACACCCCCCCTTTGCATCCTATGCTGTCTTTTCTTTTTCCCTTTCCTTCCCTTTTGCTTTGCTTTGCTTTGCTTCGTTTTGCTTCCCTTCCCTTCTCTTCCTTTCCCTTCCCTTCCCTTCTCTCTTCTCTTCTCTTCCCTTCCCTTCACTCTTCTCTTCCCTTCTCTTCTCTACCCTTCCCTTCCCTTCTCCCTTCCCTTCCCTTCCCTTCCCTTCCCTTCCCTTCCCTTCCCTTCCCTCCTCTCCTCTCCTCTCCTCTCCTCTCCTCTCCTCTCCTCTCCTCTTCCTGTGCTGTTTTTCCTTGAAAGATATACTCCTGTTGGGATATCTACCACTATGCTTACATCAGCCCTCCACCTCCACACTTATATTTGCTTCTGACATCAACTTCACGTTTATTCTACATAACGCTCAGAAATCATGTTAAATACTGCTCCCCTTCATGGAGTCTTCCTTTCCATTCACCTATGATAGTCTGGATATTTTTTTGATGGGGAAGTAAAATATTTAGAAACCTAAGCATACTATTTAAAAATTAAAATAGTTTAAAAAATAAAGAAAAATAAAAATTAAAATATTTTTTGAGTAACTCCATATTTTTATTCTTTTCATCAAAGCTAATTAATATAATAATGCCTTTGTTTAAAAATTACATATAATTAATGAAAAATGTAAGGGGCCCATACTGACTTAGAGATGTCAGGATACTTTGTAGGAACTTAAGTTTTATGAACAATATGAATAGGCCAAACCAATATATCAGTTTTAAGCTTCTGGTAAAAGTGACTACAGACTTCTAAGCAATAATTTCTATAAAGCTTTGTCAATTAAGCAATGAAATGTGAACTTCTTTAAAGAAGTTTATAAAATTGCATTATTTACAAGTTTGGGAGTGTATCATATGTTAAATCAAAATGATTTTTGATATAAAATATAAAACTCAAGCAGGACCTGAAAAGACTGAAAAAATAAGATCATACTCAGAATAGACATATATTAAACTTTGAGAAAGTATTAAGAGGAGTTAAGGTAAAAACTCAAGTGATATCCAATTGCACCTAAGCAGCGGGCACAGAGTGCATTTCAGAATGGTGTAAAATTGCTTCTTGCCTAGGAATATGCTTTAAATAAAGGAGAAGTAGAGGTTCTAAAATAATAATTTATATTTTAGAACTAGTAAATAAATGTGTAGTGCAAAAGAAGTACAATTTGTGCTTTGTTTTCTTGAACCATTACTACTAGAAAATGTTTCCTAAGTACTTACAATGTATGAACAAATATCCACAACACAGTGACAGACATGGCTTCCATCCAGTGGTTCTGCTATCTGAGTAAGTCTGGTAATAAAGCAGACATAAAAACACCGGAAGATGGATGACTTATATGGCGGTGATGCAGTTTGCCTGTGGTTTTATTTTTCTGGTCTCTTCTTTGAGACCTCTCCCATTGCTCTATGATTTTAAAAAAGTGCCATGTGTGGGGTCACAGAATTGCCTTTTGGTCCTGTTTTCTCCTTCATAAAGAGTCTAGTATGAGGGTAATGTTAAATCAGTATGTTACAAATTAATGCATTCAAAGGCCCTAGTTCATAAGACACATTTTTGCTTATTCCAGCTTTATTTGTACATGGCTAAAGTAAATCAGGCTTGCTAGAGGTCTGTGATATGATATTAGCAATTTAATAGAGATGCTGGTTTTGATGATGGCCATCAGAATCTTTTTAAAAATTTTTAAAGACACTTTTATGGTCATTACCTTTAAAATTTCCACATTGTAAATAAATGGTAGGTTTTTTTCCTGCAAAATAACAAGATAATAGGAGAAAGAAAATTGCTGACAAGTAGGTAGCCTTTAGGAAATTCTGTTCAGGTGTTATTTCCTGGAGTAACAGAGTCTCTGAGGAATATGTGTCTCTAAGACTGGAGGACCTCAGGTATATTAATTGAATGCTTGATATGAAGAGGTCCTTAATGTACCAGTGAATTACATCTGTAGCCACAAAATTTTGGAAGGACAGTGGCTTCTTTCAGTTGTCTTGTTTCTTGTTACCAACAAGGATAGACTACAAAAATAAGAGAGAACTATAAAATGTACAGCTCAGGTCCAAAGGGCTGTTTAATGACCATCCATTTAATTATTTATTCATAAATCACATAACTGTTAACTAACTCTGTTCTTAGAAATGATTTGATATTTTCAAAAACACTTGTCACACTAAGAAAATGATAATCATCTCTTACAATTAAGAATTACAAAATTCTCAATCTTTATTGTCTTTTAATTGTGCTTATGTTGTAAAAAGCTTTTTGTGAATTCCAATCACAGAAAAAACTAAGAATGGAAGTACATTGATATTTTTGATACTCTGTTAGATACGCTCCAGCGGATAGGAGTCATATCTATGCATTAACTAGGATAATACTTGATTTTATCAGATAGTATTGCTAGATGGATGAATAAATGCATTGTGATAGTTGGTAGAGTGAAATGCTGGTGTCAGAGAAACACGTAAATAATTCCTTCAGAATAAGGCATTTGCTATTGTGTCAGTTAGTCACTTGAGAAAAGCCATTGTAAGCATTTGTTGAGGAAACTGAGAATACAAGGTCTTGAGATTAAAAAAAAAAAAAAAGAAAAAGAAAAATCATCTCCAAGATGACCAGTATTTGTGCATCAAAGGATGGAAAAAGAGGTGTTGGGGAGAGATGTGGTTGGAAAGGTAGGCTGTGTTCAGATCTTGAAGAGTCAAAGGTCATTCTAAAGAGTATGGAATTTTAAGTAGAGGGGTAACAAAATTAACTGTGCATTTCACAAGAATCAATCTGTTTATTACCACTGTGGATACCACCGTTACCAGAAAATTTATTTAAAAAAATGATGATCCAGTGCTCACTTTGGTAGCTCCTATACTAAAATTAGAATACTACAGAGATTAGCATGGCTCCTGCACAAGGATGACATGCAAATTCATGAAGAAATAACAACCCAAACTTCCCAAATCGGGGGAAGGAAGTGAACATTCAGATTCATAAGGGAGAGAGGATATCAAATAGGATAAATCTAAATAAGTCTACATGAAGACACATTACAAGGTAGTTGACACAAGTCAAAGATGGAGTGAATTTTGAAAATGGTAAAATTTGTCACATGCAAGGGATCCCTTATAAGACTATCTGCAGATTTCTTAGCAGAAAACTTGCAGGCCAGAGGGGAGTTGGGAGGTAAGTTTAAAGTGTTGAAGGAAAAAAAAAACTATCAAACAAAAATACTATACATAGCTGAACAGTTCAAAAACGTAGGAGAGATAAAGATTTTCCCCACCAGAAACTAAGGGAGTTCATCACTTATAATCTGCTTTATAAGAAATACTAAAGGGAGCTCTTCAAATTGAAATGAAAGTATGCTAAACAACACAAAAGTACATGAACCCTGGTAATGATAAATATATAAACAAATATGGAATACTGTAATATTATAATGGTGATATATAAATCACTATTAATATAAAGATAAAAAGCACATTAAGAATAAGTACAACTATAAAATTTATTAATAAATTCATAATATAAAAAGATATAAACTGTGATACAAAAATACAGATTCAAAGGGATACATGCTCCCCAATGTTTATAGCAACATTATCAACAATAGCCAAACTATGGAAAGACCCCAAGTGTCCATTGACTGATGAATGAATAAAGAAGATGTGGTACATATATATAATGGACTATTACTTAGCCATCAAAAGAATGTAATCTTGCCATTTTCAATGATGTGGATGGAGGTAGAGTGTATTATGTCAAGTGAAATAAGTTAGAGAAAGACAAATACCATATGATTTCATTCCTGTGGAATTTAGGAAACAAAACAGATGAACATAGGGGAGAAAGAGAGGGAAGCAAACCATAAGAAACTCTTAATGATAGAGAACAAACTGAAGGTTGATGGAGATGGGTGGGAAACAGGCGCAATGGGTAATGGACATTAAGGAGGGCACTTGTTAGGATGAGCACTAGGTGTTATTTGTAAGTGATATATCACTAAACTCTACCCTGAAACCAATATTACACTATATGTTAACTAATTAAAATTTAAATACAAATTTGGAAGGGAAAAAAAGATAAAAATTGTGATTTCGACAACAGAAAGTGTGTTGGGCAGGAGAAGTTAAAAGAATGGAGTTTTTATATGCTATTGAACTTAAGTTGTATTGGCTTAAAATGGGCTGTTATAAGATGTTTTATGTAAGCCTCATGATTACTACAAAAAAATACAGAATATACACAAAAGAAAAGATATAAAAACATATGACCACAATAAATTAACAAAACACAAAGAAGATAGCAAGAAAAGAAAAGATGGACAAATGAACCACAAAGCAGAATACAATGAATGCAATATAAGTTTTTCCCTAAGAATAATTACCTTAAAAGTAATGGATTAAATTTCCTGATCAAAAAACATAGCATGGCTGATGGATAATAAAACAAGACCCAGTTACATGTTACCTATGAGGGACTTTCTTTTCTTTTCTTTTCTAAGATTTTATTTGTTTATTTGACAGAGAGTTAGAGAGCACAAGGAGGCAGAGTGGCAGGCAGAGAGAGAGGGAGAAGCAGACTTCCTGCTGAGCAGGGAGCCAGATGCGGGACTTGATCCCAGGACCCTGGGATCATAACCTGAGCCAAACGCAGATGCTTAACCGACTGAGACACTTATATGCCCCTAGGGGGAATTTCTTTAGAATTAAAGACACACATAGTTAATGGGGGTGAAAAAAAGATATTCAATGCAAATGGTAATCAGAAAAGATCAGGGGTGGTTTTACTTGAATCAAACACAATACATTTAAAATACATTTTAAGTCAGAAACTCTCACACAAGGCACCAGAAAGGACATTACATAATGATAAAAGGATATTCATCAGGAATATATAACAATTATAAATATATAGGCACCCAACATCAGAACACCAAAATATATAAAGCAAAAGTTAATAGAACTAAAGGGGAAAATTTATAGCAATACAATAGCAATAGGAGACTTCAATACCAAATTTTCAGTAATTGATACCATATCTGGGCAGAAAATCAATAAAGACACAGCTAACTTGAACAACACTGTAGACCAAACAAACCTAACAGACATATTCAGAACTTTCTCTCCAACAGCAGTTGAATATACATTTTTCTCAAGCGTACATGGAACATTGTCCAGGATAGATCCCATGTAAGGTCATAAAACAAATCTTAACAAACTTAAGAAGACTGAAATTATATGAAGTATCTTTCTCCAACCATAATGGTATGAAACTAGGAATCAGTAAGAGAACAGAAATTGGAAAATTGACAAATATGTGGATGTTAAGCAACATACTCTTGAAAAACCAAGGGTCAAAGAAGAAATCAGAGGAAAAATAAAAAAATTCCTTGAGGCAAATGAAAAGTAAATAAAACACAACATACCAAAACTAATGGGATGTAGCAAAAAAAAAAAAAAAAAAAAAAGAGAGAGAGAGAGAGGGAATTTTAAGGCAATACACACCCACATTAAAAAGGAAGTTCTAGGGGTGCCTGCTTGGCTCAGTTAGCTAAGCGTTTGACTCTTGGTTTTGGCTCAGGTCATGATAATGATCATGGAATCGAGCCCTGCATTGGGCTCCATGCTCAGTGCAGACTCTACATTAGATTCTTTTCCCCTCCCCGCCTTCCCTCTCTCTCTATCTAAAACAAATAAATAAAATCTTAAAAAAAAAGAGCCAAAAAAAAAAAAACCCTACTAAATTTATACTTTAATGAACTAGAAAAATAACAAGCTAAGTCTAAAGTTATAAGGAGAAAGGAAATACTAAATGCTAGACCAGAAATAAATGAGATAGGGGCTACAAAAACAATAGAAAAGATCAATGAAACCAGGAACTGGTTTCTGGAAAAGAGAAACAAAATTGACAAAACTTTAGCTTGTATAATGAAATAAAAAGAAAACAGATTCAAATTAATAAAATAAAAAATGAAAGAGGAGATATTACACCTAATATCACAGAAATAAAAAGGATCAAAAGAGGCTACTATGGACAGTTATTTACCAACAGACTGGATAACAGAGGAAATGGATAAATTGCTAGATATGTACAACCTACCAAGACTGAATCATGAAGAAAAACAAGGTCTGAACAGATCAGTAATGAATAAGGAGATTTAATCAGTAATAAAAACCTTCCAGCACAGAAAAGTCCAGGACCAGATGGCTTCGCTAGTGAATTCTACCAAACATTTAAGGAAAAATTATTGCCAATTTTTTTCAAACTCTTCCAGAAAACTGAAAAGGAGAAAATACTTCCAAGCTAAATTTTATGAAGCCAGAATTACCCTGATAGCAAAGCCAGACAAAACCACCGCAAGAAACAATAAATTTATAGGCCAGTGCCCTGGATTAGCAGAGATGCAAAAATCCTCAACAAAACACTAGCAAACTAATTCCCTAAATTAAGTCAGTTCATTAAAAGGATCATATGTCATGATCAAGTAAGATTTATTCTTGAGACATGAATGTGTTTCAACATATACACATCAATAAATGTGACACAGTAACAGAATTAAGGATAAGAATCACAGGATTATCTCTATAGTTACAGAAAAAAATTTAACAAAAACTTTTTCATGAAAACAACTAGGCATAGAAGCAATGGACCTCAACATAATAAACACCTTATATGGAAAATCCATAGCTAATGTCATACTCACTTGTGATAAATTGAAAGCTTTTTCTCTGCTATCAGGAAAAAAGAAAACCCACTCTCACCACTTGTATTCAGCATAGTACTAAAAATTCTAGCCAGAGCAATCAGGTAAGAAAAAGAAATCAATTAATTTAAATCAGAAAGGATAAAGTAAAATCATCTGTGTTGCAGATGAGATAATTCTATATGTAAAAATCTCTAAGGATCCCACAAGAAGAAGGAAAAAAAAAAACCTGTGAAAGCTAATAAATAAACTCAGTAAAGTTATAGGATACAGAATCAACATAAAAATAACATCAAAAAGAATAATATACTTAGCAATTTATTTGAGCAAGGAATAAAAGACTTATACACTGAAAACTGTAAGATGTTGGTGAAACTAATTGAAGGAGACATAAACAAATGGGAAAAATCCCGTATATACTTATTAGAAAGCTTAATAGTGTTAAAATATTCACACAACCCAGAGCAACCTACACATTTGATGTAATAAACATCGAAATCCTAGTGACATTTTTTACAGAAATAGAAAAAAATCCCAAAATTCATATGGAATCATAAAAAGTACCCTATATAGTCAAAGCAGTATTGAGAAAGAACAACCCTGGAGGCCTCACACTTTCTGATTTCAAGATATACTACAAAGCTACAGTAATTAAAACAGTATGGTACCAGCATGGATACACACAGATTGCCCAATGGAACAGAATAGAGAACCCAGAAGTAAACCCATGCATATACAGTCAATTGATCTTTGACAGATGTACCGAGAAGTCACAGTAGAGAAAGGATTTTCTTTTTAACAAATGGTGATGGGAAACTAGATATTTGCATGCAAAACAATGTAATCAGAACATTATCTAATACCATATTAAAAAATCTGCTCAAAAAGTATTAAAGGCTTAAACATAATACCTGAAACTTTAAAAATCATAGGAGAAAACATAGGGCAAAGTCTCTCGACTTAGGTCTTGACAGTGATTTTTAGATATGACACCAAAAGCACAGGTGACAAAAGCAAAAATAGACAAGTGGGACTACATGAAACTAAAATCTTCTGCATGGCAAAGAAAACAACAAGCCAACAAAGACTGAAAAGTCAGCCTACAGAATGACAGAAAATACTTGCAAGTCATATATCTGATAGGAGGTTAACTTGCAAAATATATAAAGAATGCCTCCAACTCAATTGCAAAAAGAAAATAACTCCATTAAAAATGGGCAATGGATTTGAACAGACATTTCCCCA